CTTTGTGTTGCAGTAACACTGCACAAGTCTTCGTTCTTGGGCTTCTGGAGGCAGGGGTGTAGACCTGGGATGCTGCTGCTATCTATCTCTGTAAGGATGACCGCCTCCCTTTCCTACTTGCCATCCACACCTGGCCACACCTGTCCTCCGAAACACCAGGGAAAAGGGCTTAAGTCAGACTGGTCATGTCTAAAATTATTAAGCTTAAGAAGATTTGCTAAATACTTCAGTGAACACATTTTACTTTGCCATGTACACATAGTACATATGCATAATTTTAAACCCATGTGTACAGTTGGCCATTGAGCAGTTATAGTCAACAGCACCCTAGAATATAAAGCTATATAGTATATAAAATGTGCTCAAAAACACATCTTAAAGGGCAGAAGTGCTGCCAAAGGGTTTTTTTACTCAAACACAAATATTCAGGTCATATGTTTCATAAAGAACCAACATCATGCAGTGCAGCAGTCTGCTTTATTTGTTTTTGAACAACAGAAATCTATGGCACAGATGAATAAAAAATCCAAGCTGGAGACTTAATATATACTCACTGTCCATTTTATTAAGTACACCTTGAACAGTTGAATGCAATTTAATGCAACACTTCTGCCTTAACATCTGTGTTCATGAAGCTCAGAATGTTTTAGATTTTGATTAAATTGTCATACCGTACAACGCTAAATGAAAAAAAGTTGGGAGGGTATATAAAATCAAAACTAAAACTGAAAATAATGATTAGTAAATCATCTGTGTCCTGTATTACATTGAAATCAATACAGCAGCACATTATTTGATGTGATTTTATTCTTTGTTTAAAAAAAAAACACTTCAGTTCTGATGCCTGCAACACATTTCAAATAAAGTTGGGACAGTAAAGCGTTTACCACGGTGTGATGCTGCCGTTCCTTTTCACAACACTTAAAAGACTGAGCACACTAAGTGATTTTAAATGTGTCAGGTATAATTTTGTCCCATTGTTCTTGCAAACGAGCCTTGAGGTGTGTTTCAAAATGTGCCACACATTCTCTACTGGGGACAGGTCGGGACTGCAGGCAGGCCAGTCCAGCACTCACACCCTTTTCCTCCACAGCCTTGGTAATGTGTGCAGTATGAGGTGTTGCATTGTCTTGTTGAAATCTGCATGGGCGTCCCTGAAAAAGACGTCATCTTGAAGGCAACATACAGTATGTTGCTCCAAAATCTTTATATACATTTTAGCATTAACGGAGCCATCACAGAAGTGAAAGTGGCCTTTGCCGAGGGCACTGACACAACCCCAGACCATGACAGATCCTGGCTTTTGGACTTGTTGCTGGTAACAGTCTGGCTGGTCCTTTTTGTCTGGATCACACGGTGTCCATTCCTTCCAAAAAAGACCTGAAATACTGATTCATCTGACCACAGTACACATTTCCACTGTGTGATGGTCCATTCCAGATGCCTTGGGGCCCAGAGCAGTCGACTACGCTTCAGGACACTGTTGTCATAGGGCTTCCCCTTGGAACAGTACAGTTTAAAGTATTGTAGTGCCTGATACAGCTGTGCTGAAGTAATCCTGAGCCCATGTGGTTATATCACTTATAGAAGAGTGATGATTCCTGATGCAGTGTCGTCTGAGGGATCAGTGAGCACGGTCATCCAGCTTAGGCTTGCGCCTTTTACAAATTGAAATCCCTCCAGATTCCTTGAATCTTTTATGTGATGCATAGTGGAGGGTGACATATCCAAATCCCTTCCTATCTTTCTTTAATCATTTCAATAATTTTCTCACACATATGTTGGCAAACCCTTGGCCCATCTTTGCTCTTAAAGGACTCAGCCTTTCCTAGATGCCACTTTTGTACCAAATCATGATTGGAGTCACTTGTTGACATCACCTGTTTCAAATGGAATCAACATTTTATTGTTTTACCTCATTACTGGCCCCGAAATGCAACCGTCCCAACTTTATTTTGAATGTGTTGCTGGTATCAGACTTGAAATGAGTTTATTTTGAAGAATAAATAACAAAGAATAAAACTGATGAGGTATCACATCAAATAATGTGCTGCTTTATTGTTTTCAATGTAATACAGGGCACAGTTGATTTACAAACCACTATTTTAAAATCACCCAGCTTCCTCCTAGCTTTCCTCACAGTTTCTATGGCTGTTAGATGGCTTTGTCACTTGACTGTGGATAATAAACCTGCCTTAGAGTATAACTGCCTCGAACAGCTGCAAACATTTTTGCCTACTGACATTACATACCTAAACAGTATTGGGGTGAATGCTTTTAAATAACAAGAGCAATTTATGTTACCAACTGAATAAATGATAGTCATTGACACATTTTTTTCTGCCTTCGTTTTTTTCTCATAAGCCTTCGTGGCCTGTTCTAATGCCATTTTGAAAGTGGTAACACAGTGCAGAATAAAAGAGATTGGTGAGATCAGAATGAGTGACTTTGAATAAAGGGCTTGCACACAAAAATGTATGTGTGTGTGTGTGGGGGTGGGGGGTGGGAGTGGTTTGTCCAAATGGCAGTTATGGCGTTTCAAACAGCCCAATCTGACAGTCAAACAATCTGGGATCACACAATGGAGCTTTCTGGAGTTAGTAGTAATGAGGGCAGCGTTTTTTTTTTTAAATCAAAACAATATCAGCATTAAGTGATCAGCATTGAGGAATAGGTCTTGATGTTCAAGGTACTGAATTTATAATCCTGAAAAGCCTCTAAGTATGTGTGTCCTTTTGTTTAACTGACACATGCAGAT